TCTGTTACAGCTCCTCTCCCTCGCCAGAGCGCCCTGTGAGTGAAGTTACATCACCGATAGCCGTGGAGAGATGGATTATTTTTCCTGAAGCGTGGACTTAAGTTTCGGCTCTCTGCTGCTGGGTGGCCCACTCCTCTTTAGCCGTGTTAACATAAGAATAGAGGGGTGGTCAGGGGGTTGGGGTGAGGGAGGGGTGGGCTAGCCGGGTAGCTGGTTTAAATTATTCTGCGCCTCCGCTGCTGCATAGCAGGAGCTGTTGTTATCCACTTACAACATCAGACGATTTGTTCCGTCTCTCTCTCTCTCTTTCCCTCTCTCTTTTCCTCCCTCAACCCCGTGGGCGTCTTTACTCTGAGACTGACCCTTTGTACCCACCATTACAACTCCTGCCTTACAGCTTCTGCCCCGGCCAGGGTCCACCTCACTCCCTGCCACTTGTTTGATTTTTTTAGAACCTCCATCTCTGATTTGAAAATTTAGAAAAATGAAAGTGTCTTTCAAGCCAGTCCAGCCCCCGCGCTCTGGTGAGAAGAATCTCTCTGCGCGAATCCAAATATCAAAAAGTGAGCTCCAAGTGCAGGGAATCGTGGCGCTCGTAGGCCCAGATGAGGAATGAAGTTATGAGGAGATGTTTGTATACATTCAGCCCGCGCCTTGGAGAGCGGCGATGGTAGTCGAGCACAGCTTAAAGACATCTGGATGCGATGAAATGCCATTTGTCTAAACAATCAAGAGTCTTACCAAAGCCACCCAACGCGCTGCTGTGCTTTTAGTACATACTTGTGCAACTGCGCTTCGAACATGGAGCGTTATTGACAAATATTTCGTTGCGACAGCCTCGTGGGATCTCAAAACCAGATTTCCTCTTTTTTTGTATCTTTCCAGCTTTTTGCTGTAAACATAAAGCATTTGCGATGGCTCACCGATGGCTGAGAAGTGGAGAAGTTCATTTTTAAAGGGAGGCGGGGGTTGAAAATAAGAGCTCTTTGATTATATACAAGACTGAGGCAAACATTTTGAAAATCTGGAAAAAAATGTTAATAATGACTAGCTTATAATTTGTGGTTGTGTCCACCTGTCATCACTGCAACAACTTGAGTTGAACTCGACACATCGTCCACTCAGACTGACGACAGCTACACACTCGGATGGAGAATGAGGCATCGATTGTCAAAATAAATACCACACCTGTACATTTATTTTCTCCTTAATTCCATTTCAAACAAGCGGTCTGGGCAGTCATGACAGCCAGTGCTGTGTGTGTGTGTGTGTGTGTGTGTGTGTGTGGTGGAGGTGCAAGTGAAGGGGGCAGGCAGACATGACTGGGATAATAAGCGTCATGGAATCTAATCAGATTTCTAAGAGGAATTGATTGTTGCGAGGCAGCCGGTGCAGGAGTGGGGTTGACAATAAGCCGAAATATAAGTGTTAATTTTTATGCTAATCCTCTGGCATCTCTGTGTGATGCAATTTGGTCCAGCAGCCCCCTCGACTTTGCGCGCCGCAGATATGAAATTGTCCCGAGCACACAGAAAATGTCAGCTTGCCAGCCCCTGAAAGCTTGTAATTTATTAGGTATGTTTCTATTAGTATGTGTCACAGTTGTTAGGGAGCCACATGCACAGGCATGCAGCAACGCCTCCTTGCCTCCTACTATCTCACTTTTTCTCTCCCTGAAACCTGCCTCATTGTGCTTTTTACCCCGTGTTTTATTAATTTTCTTTTTTTACCACACGCACACACACACACACAGGCACGCACCGTGCTTGTTCTTAAGACGGTCTCGGCTCAGTGGCTGCAACACTGGGGCCTTAATGTATTATCATATATCGGGTGGTCCTTGCCCCCTGGACAAAAGGCTATTTAATACAATTTAATGACATTCCCAAGAATGAAGGAGGGAAGGGGTGAGGGGGGTAAGAAAGTGAGGGATAGAGAAAGAGAATAAAAGAGAAAGAGAGGGAGGGAAGGGGGGAAAGGAGAATAAAAAAGACTGAGGCCCAGATGAAAATAGCATCTGTGTTTTTCATGGCTTGCCTGTGCAAACATTGCAGTGTAAAATGACTTTCCCTCGTCTATCTCTGTGGTCCTATGGCTGTTTTTGTCTTTACCTGCACACTACAACGCAGTGTCAGTCTGCAGGTAGGCCCGATTTCCATCCATAAATCATAGGTATAACCTTTAAAGTTGTCATGATATGGAACCCAATTTTCATAATAATTCATAACCAGGATTTTTCAGCAATAGCCCTTCAATGATCACATTCCTACAATTTCTTCAAAAAATGTGCATTTACATACAAATTTGTAACAGTAAATGTTGTTTGAAAGAAAGCAAAATGTAAACGATAAAAAATATAAAATTTAAAAGTTTAATACTGAAATCTTTTAGGGGACCAATGGAGGCCGTCAATAGAAAAAACCCACGACAAAAAGATAATTAATCAGCAAGCTTTATATTTATAATCAGAGTTTCGTCAAGACCCTTTAAGCATTGTCATCCTTCTTTGAATTGAGATACACAGTATGAAATTCAAAAAGTATTCTATTTCTGATTGTCTATACGACTGGCTTCCGCTTTGGGAAGGGCCTCAATGTATTTCAATTTGGGTTAAAAAAGAGCGCATAAGAATGCACCAACCACTGGTGTGCATTCCCCGGGTGAGTGGGAAGTCAATGTCACTTAATTCCTCACTCGACCCGTTGAAGGACGTTGTGGAACTTGCTAGTTATTTTAACCCAAATAATGCTCTCTTCCTAAGTCTAACCAAGTGGATTTGCAAAGTCTCCTGATGCATCATATATTTACATATAAATATCAAGAAAAAAAATAAGAGTATTTTTTATAGACTTCTTTACAATCAGACTTTTCCAGCAGAGAGATAATTCCATTGTAAGGAACTTCAGCATTGACTTTTCTTTTTCATTTGAAACAACTAGCAGACAGAAATAATTAGAAATAAAATAACACCATTACCACCATTAACTGAAGCTACAGCCAAATTAACCAGGACACGCATGTTAAGAATCGTAGTTCAAGCTTAAATGAGAAAACACATTGATCCCAATGTCCCCGCCGCAAGAAAAGTGCTATAAACCGGAAATTAAATGATTCATTCAGTAATATATTTTACATGCGTACATCTAATTGCTTTTGTTAGACTGGCATAGGATTTTATATAAATAACAAATCAAAGTAACCATAGCTCTCAAATGAATGTAGTAGTGTAAAAAGGTACTGTATTTCCCCCTTACTAAGTACCTCAAAAAGACTAAAATGCAGTCCTTGAGTAATTGTTCTTTCCACCACCACCTGTTAGTAAGCACGCTACAATGAGTTTTGGTAGCGATGACACCTGTGAGGAAAGAATCAGGGACAAACCATGCGCTCTCACAATTTATTTTAGCAAAGACGCTCTATTCTAAATTTAGTCGTCTCCCTTTTTGTGTTTGATCACTGCTAAAACTCATATGTTGATTGTTACCAGAAAGCCAATCAAATCTGTACTCAGCGAGCCCGGAAAAAAACCACACTGAAAGGTTTGGATGGTATTCACATATAGGTCAATTAAATGCAACAACATCTGCTCTCTCCCTATCATTTGCATATAGCATTCATATGTTAATGATCTTCCTTGTTTTGTTTTTTGTTTTTTTTCTGCATGTGTGTATGTGCGTTTGTGTTTTTTGTTTCTGTCTATGTCTATTTCTTTTTCTCCTGTACTTCCTCCCCTCCACCCAGTCTCTTTGTATCGTCAAACAAAAAGAGATGCAGAAAATTTGGATTCATACTTCCCTTTTTGAAAAAAAACTACCAGATACTCCCGTCCCATTTTTTACTTCCTCCCGCCTGACGATTAAAGGGGAGGTCGGACAAGTTGTCACAGTTGTTCCATTGCCGTGCCCCTGATTTCAACAAGAAGCCCCTTTAACGGCAGAGAAGGCAAGGACCTCTCTCTTCCCCAAGCAGCTTAATGCCTTATAAATCAATGATGACACAGATGGACTAGCGATAATCTATTTAGAATGCCTCACAGCAAATATTGTTGTGCAGATGATTAGACTGCCAGTTATTTTAACTCAGACCCCCTAAACCCAATCTTCCGTATCTTGTAATGCTCCTCAGATTTATGGACGGTAATTTGGGATTTGATATTTTTGTTATTTGAAATAAATTTGGCAAGGAGAGACGTGCTCCAAATGGTGAAAATTAAAAGTGAAATCCGGCTGTGGCAGGGCGTCTACATTATTGTGTGTTTGTGTGTGTGTGTGTGTGTCTTGGGTGGCATAGGCAGCTTGAGGAACAAAAGACATGAAGAGGTGCCGGTGTCTGTGCCAAGGCCATAATGATAAGGCATGTTTCTTTAAAGAAGAAGGGAGACAGACCTTAAGCCGAATTGTACCTCCAGGGCATTTGTGTGTATGGCTGTGTGTTTGTGTGTGCTACACAGTCTAGTGACATGAGGGGGGTTAATGGCAATCCACGGTCTCTGCCCCTTTTCATGGTCGATGGGTCTCAATTTAGCGTGCGAGGGTGAGGAGGAGGAGGAGAGGAGAAGAGAAGAGAGAGGAGGAGTGCAAAAATGAAGTGGAGGTTGTCAGACGTTTGGCAGCTGCTCGGAGGCCCTGATAAATATAAGCCCTTATTGATCGGCTGAAAATGAAAGATCCCCGAGTGGCGTGCAGTATTTAGCTTCTTGTCTGCCTCGTGTCAGCGGTGGCCTTGCCCTGGAGGGATAGATTTTCAGCTGTGCCTCCGGGCACCGCAGCACGCTCGCTGGCTTTGATTTCATCTTTAACCTTTTTCGGCTCCGTTTCCTTGACCTCTGCAGCGTCGCCCCGCAGAATTTGTTAGATCTTGCCGTGGCCACCCTCTGCCCCCTTCCTCCTCGCCACCCCATCATCATCTCCGCCAGCCTGCGTCCCCCTTGTCCGTCTTCGTCCTTCAGGTCTATATTTCATCATCGCCTACCCGTCTAATCTTTTTTTCCCGCCCTCTAGGTGGCCATTCCAGTAAGTAAGCAGTAGTCAGTCAGGAGTGACAGCGAGGGGCCTCTTGATCCTAACAGACGGGTTGCACTCCAGTATGCAGTTGGTGTGTTAAGGTAAGCCCGCACGCGACACCTTAACCTCAGTCACAAAATGTCCTCAACATTGACATTCTGCTACGTTTTCCCCAAAGCCTTTATGGTGTTTGTTCTCAGACTGTGACGGTAAAACCAACAAGGCACATAGACACCAGCGGATCCACACATACGCTCACACACTCCAACTGTTCGTCATTCGCTCACCATTTAGTCTTATCCCCAAAGGCACTGTGTCTTAAACCAAAACACACACACACACACAGACAGTCACTCAGCTACAGTACACTGCTGCTATGTGCGCCGACAGAACTTGTAACAATCTGGATTGTGATAATCTATGATAATCATTCGCCACATGCCACCTAAAAACGCACATGGGTGGCATTCAACACCCACACTGCCACATTGCTTCAGTGCATCTCGCCTCCCTCTGCCGCTCTCCCCAATGTCACTACCTCCAGTGTCAATGTCACCACTCTGCTCCTTACTTCTCTTTTATGTATCAGGAGGCTTGAGTGTCAACACGTCGTCAAGGGGGGGCTGGGGGAGGGAGTCTGAGAAGAAAAAGGATGGAATTTGGAACAATTTATGTGTGGCATTAGTGTAATTGAATCTCACTCGTATATCAAAGTAAGAAAGGTGCTTTGTGATATCTATACAAGGTCTGGATCCATGAAAACAAGGATCCTTTCCTCTCCCTTTTGCCATGCCTTCTGAGCAATCTCTTTTTTTTATTCTTCCCCTCTCTCCCCTACTTTAGCTAGATGGATGATAAATTCCCAGCCAGAGAGCCAGCAACAGCTGTTGGCAGACAGGCCTGATATGAGAATAGCAGCATAGGATGAGCAGGCATTAAAAATTAATATGCTATTTAGCCTAGGTGTATTTTAGGTATTTGACATTTTCATGTCCGGGACAGACCAAATTTATTCATAGTACAGAAAAAAAATAATAAAAAAAAAAGAAGAAGAGAGGAATGGGTGTAGGGAATGCTAACTGAAGGCCACTACGTCTTTTTGTTAACCCTGTTTCACCTTGCCTCCCACCACACTGATGTAAAAGGGTGGGATGGTTATGTTTGACTACACCTTAAATGTTGTGGTGTTTTTCAGTGTAAAATACGACAAAGCTTTTGGTACTGATCACGTCACACACAATTGGAAACTGTTCTCGCAAAACGCCCACATATTACTATCTGCTCAAACATAAGTGTGTGCAAGCACAATGACCTGGCTAACATTAATATGCTAATACCATTCCCTCCACTAGTGGTGAAACCTTGAGTAGTCCTCTGTCATTGCTCCAATCACAGTACTTAGATGTCTTCTTGATAGCACTACCATATTCAAAACTGATTTCAGTGTTCATGGAGATGGTTTAGTTTGTACTGTGTGAGTCATTTATGTTAATTACCATAAATGACCAGTTAATTTGACAGGTGGTCAAACATTGGGTCGATCTCAAGCCCAAGACAAGGACAGTGTGAACATTTATGTTAAAATGGTTAAAAAAGTATTCAGTATCCTTTTTTTCTCAATTAGAAAAACGTAACGCCTGCTGTTAGTGTACACACAATACTCAGCAATGCAAACTTTACATTATATTCCATGATAACCCAGAGTAAACACAATTCCCTAGCAAAATACACCATGCACACAGAAATGTCTCATTCTGGCAATAAATTGATACAACAGGGTTTTATGTAACCTTTGATGTATTTGTGACCCCTTGCTGACGGCCCAGGGTCAGGAAGGTCCACCGCCCCTGAGCCGCAGCTCCACAGTCAGACACAACACTCCTGAGGTCCTGAGAGCAAGGGTACGAGTCCCATGCTGAGCCATGCTAGGGCCGCCCTCTCTCTTCTCCACCCCCCTTGGTAATTAATGGCTGATGCTACTCTAGTACATCTCAATATCCCTTCTCATCCCTCCCTTGCTAATCGTTGTGAAATCTTAGACATGTCCTGGATTTGGCCTCCTGGACAAAGAGGCGAGAGGGGGGTTGGATTCGATTCGATTGAAGGACAATTTCCTCTCCCACAGCATCCATATCACTTTTGACTTTCTTTCTTTCAGTATGCCATTGTTCCACTTCGTTTAAATACCGTTACACATACTATTAAGCGTTGTTCATTAAGGTTGAGAAACTGTTTCCTTCTATCCGTTTTTGGCACTTCAGAAAACAACTTTCCACGAATAGCACTTTTGATAAACAGAAAAACCAACCAATCATAACCTCCTTAATGTATGTATCATACATACAAGAGTAAAAAATACACAAAATAAAGCTCAGATTAGTTTTATCCCCAGATTTATAAAATAGACTTTTTAATTAATCATTCTGATTCAGACTGTTCTCATCTGAAATAATACACAATTTGGTTGTCCATTTAAAATTGAACATACCCAACAGGGTTAGGGTAAAATGTTCTTAAAATGGGACCTACTCCTGCAACAATATTTGAAAAAGGATGAAAATCGTGTGACACAATTTCACCCACACATACAGTGGGAGGAATTTGGGGACCAATAAGTTGTGTCCGTTGCAACATTACACCCGGGTATTCCTAATCAATTTCCTAATCAAAAGAGATGCAGCACAGTCACCTTAGAACGTGTAAGAGGAACCTTTTTCATCGGGACAATGTGTTGGTGCCCTGCAAGAGAAGGGCATACAAAAACTGATGGACCACTATGAAGGGAACCAGGCTTTGACTTTTTGGCTAAAGTCTATACTGAGAACTATATATATGTATTTGAGAAAACATATCTCGACTAGAGGTCAACTCACTAAATTGTGTGTTTTTTCTCTCAGTACTTTCAATCCTAATCCTCATCTCTAATCAAGGATAGTGTAGAGCATCATAAACCCTCTCTGCCCGTCCATTAACTCGTTGTCGATGACGTCAGGGAACGGAGCAAAACAACTCCATGAGCAAGCTTCGATTTGGTGGTGAAGACCCTGAGAGCAAAGCTAGTAAGTGGAACTTTAGTCAAGGTTACTTTGGAAAGTTTCAAGGACCAGAAATAATTTTCACTCGATTGACCCTAAAAGTGAAGCGCAAACAGCATTGGCTAATTAGATGAATGGGCAGGCAGGACTCAAGGCTGGATTTAAACCTATGTAATCATAACCACAGCACTTCCACCTGGGCTAACTCACCAGCCAGCGTGGAACGACGTCACCACGGTTTTACTTCTCATTGTCTTTATTTATACCTCTGCTTTAGCAAGAACCCCTCTTCCCTCCCACCCTTTGCTTCTCCCCTTTTCACCTCTGTGTCTGCTAATTATTTGGTTTTCTTTCTTCCACTTCCATCCTCCCCTCGTGCCCTCTTTCTCTCCATTTCCATTGCTTCCACACTTGGCAGCAACTTCCCGTCGCGGCACTGCACAGCCCCGTATATACACTGACGGTTATTACCTTGGGGAGCGTTTAGCAGCTCTGTGTTTAACACCATATAACCTCCGCTACATCAGCGGCGGCAACGCAGGGAAAAACCTGGGAGGTGGAAACCAGAGACGGCTTGTGTTAGGTGAGTGTTTGACTGATCACTACGATAAAGACGACAAGTGAGAGGGAGAGAGAGAGAGGGAGAGAGCAAGCATATGACAAGCTCACTTTATTTCAACCTACTGGATGATCAGTGATTCTTAAGGAGAGGGAACATTTCTTGCGATATCTCTCACTACAAAGTAAATAGAAATCAAAGCCCCTCACGCTCCGAGACAGAAGCATTATATGAAAGAAACTGTCTTAACAACCTCCTTTACTTTTGCTCTTTCTTCCATCTGTACTTCCCATTGATTTTTCGTAACTGGTGTTAAGTGAAACTATTTGAGAGGCAATGGATCCACTTGACTTTCTGTCTCGAAAGGCAGGCAGTGATTGGCTGCCATAGCGGTCAAACAAAACTTCTAGCAAATCCATCCATGGTAATACTTGTGTTTTTTAAATCCGTAATCATGTGATCAGACTTCTGTTTTGATTGCCACTCGACGGAGAAAAACTGAGACATTAAGTTCAGTTTCTTTTGAGTTGCATTGCAGTTTTCTTAATGACATTAGGGCCAATGTGCCGCTTGAGTCTGCAGCCTCTCTACAAATTATTGTTGCTCCTTGTCCCACCCGCGCCCTTCCCTCCCCCCGACGAACATTTTACACATGAACCTGCCCCCCTCCTACTCCCCCTACCCTATTGGGCCACCCCTGTCTGCACCCCACTCCTTCACCCTGATAGGGTTCTGAGGGCTAGCAACTTGACAGATAATATAACGGAGTCAAAACTGGGCGATGTCCATGTCCATCAAGCAACGGGGGGCGGGGGGGGGGGGGGGGGGGGCATCACGTACACCAAACATCGACAGCAGCTTGGGAATAGATGCTGTCAGGTGATTAGAAAAATAAAAAATAAAGAGAGCGTTCCGGGGAATTGGCGCTGAGACATGAGTGTGCGCACACACACACACACACACACACAAACACACATTCAGAGGTTTCTCTCTCTCTGTCCCATCATCCTCCCAGGATACCAGGTTGTAATTGATATATGGGCTTAGCTGTCTCTTCCTACTTCACTGTCTTCTGTGTGTGTGTGTGTGTGTGTTTGTGTGTGCTATGGGTGACTTCCTTCCCACCCCCCTGTACATACGTGGTGCCGCCGCTCCCCACCTTCTGCTTTAAGATGGGCAGAGATGGATGAGCGCAAAACAATGGAAAGATAAATAAAATAAGAGGTTGCGTCACCCATAATTCCACAAATGTGTTATCAAAGTAACTTCCAGCATATCAGCGCCAACCCCCTCATATCATTGTCCCCCCTACCCCTCTCGGCGCCCGCCGCCTCCATCCTCCCCCTTTGTGGCACGCTCACTCGCCTCGGCAAGCTTCCTGAATTAAACTGCCGGCTTCCTGTTCTTTTATATGCATGGCCACATCTGGGGCGCCCGCTCGCAGGGCCCCGCCGCTTAATAACAATCACCTTCCCTTTCACTCGGCCCTGATTGTTTCTAATTCGCC